TTTCTTTTCTTTTCTTTTCTTTTCTTTTCTTTTCTTTTCTTTTCTTTCTTTTTTTGAGACAGAGTCTTGCTTTGTTGCCCAACCTGGAGTGCAATGGTGCGATCTCAGCTTACTGCAACTTCTGCCTCCCAGGTTCAAGTGATTCTCCTGCCTCAGCCTCCCGAGTAGCTGGGATTACAGGCATGTGCTACCAGGCCCCGCTAATTTTTTGTATCTTTAGTAGAGATGAGGTTTCACCATGTTGGCCAGGCAAGTCTCAAACTCCTGATCTCATGATCTGCCCACCTTGGCCTCCCAAAGTGCTGGGATTACAGGCGTGAGCCACTGCATCCTCCCAGCCTTGTTATAATTTTCTTTTCATTTTGTTTTCTTTTTTGAGACAGAATCTCACTCTGTCACCCAGGCTGGGGTGCAGCGGCATGATCACGGCTCACTGCAACCTCTACCTCTTGGGCTCAAGCGATCCTCTTGGCTCCTGTTTCCTGAGTAGCTGGATCTACAGGTGCATACCACCACACCTAGCTAATTTTGTTTATTTTATAGAAACGGGGTTTGCTATGTTGCCCAGGCTGGTCTTGAACTGCTGGACTCAAGCATTCTTCCCACCTTGGCCCCGAAAATGCTAGCATTATAGGCATGAGCCACTGCACCTGGCTCTTTTCTCTTGTTAATCTGTCTTTTGCTATAGGAGTGGTGGCTGTTCCTTACGATGGATGAGGAAAGGTATCACATTTTTCTGCCACTACACTGCCTTTGGGAATTTACAGTTCAGCCTTCTCTGAGTTCCCTCGTATTTGCAGTAAACAGTAGTGTACTAGAGCCAGCTCTTAGCAGCTTGCAATTTTTAGGAATTTTGTGAGCCAGTTGTCAAACACAACCTTCATTAAAAATCAGATTACAGTCTGGGTATGGTGGCTCATGCCTGTAATCCCAGCTTTGGGAGGCTGAGTCAAGGAGGATTGCTTGAGCCCAGGAGTTTGAGACCAGTCTAAGCAACATAATGAGACCCCATTTCTACAAAAAAAAATTAGCTATGCATGGTGGTATGCACCTGTAGTCCCAGCTACTCAGGAGGCTGAGGTGGGAGGATTGCTTGAGTCCAGGAGGTCAAGGCTGCTGTGAGCTGTGATCGTGCCCCTGCACTCCAGCCTGGGTGACAGAGGGAGACTATGTCAAAAAATTAAAAAATCAAATTACATAAATTTACAATTAAATTATATTAAAACTAAAGATAGTAGACTCCAGACTTATCACACCCTAATTCTTTTACTATGTCTTCCCATGATTTATGTCCTTAAAGGTTTTTGTGTCGATTCTATCTGTATGGTAGAAATATTGTATAGTGAGCACCTCTTTGCAACTCCATGTTCAGTGACATCGCAGTGGGAGCACATAAATAAGAAAGTATTTACACCACAGAAATCAGCAAACCTGACAATTGAGTCTCACCTATTCCCACTCCCTCACAGTTCCCCACGCACAACTCCCAGCAACCTATGAAGGGATAGTGTGTGTTGACAGCCACATAATTAAAGAAAAGATGCCGAATCTCTAGATTCTCCTACAAAGGAAGAAGACAAATAGAGAAGCTGGTTTGAACCTGAGAGGGGTCCTAGAGCTATGCACTAACAGGGTACAAGTTTTAAAGTAAATTTTTAAAACTTAACTCATTCTTTATGACTTTAGAATTTCATTTTTAAAAACGTGTTTTTAAATTAAATGCCTATTTCAAAAATAAAAGCAGAGTATTCATTTTGAACTTTGGGGTTTGCTTTTTGTTTTGCTTTGAGTTGCTGTTTTATGAGCTCTGCGGTTTTAAAAATGAATTATAGGCAGAGCTCAAAAGAGTTGAGCTCCATAAAGACAGTGCCGCGACAAGTGAGAGTCAGGCGGGCACTAGGCGGCTCTGTGCCTCACTGAGGAACAATAACCAAACGTGGGCAAAGGAGATCTTAAGAGGCCAAGAGGCAAAATGCCATCATATGTATTTTATGTGCAAACTTGTCAGGAGGAGCATAAGAAAGAAGCAGCGCATGCTTCAGTCCACTTGTCAAAGTTTTCTAAGAAGTGCTCGGAGAGGTGGAAGATCATGTCTGCTAAAGAGAAAGGACAATTTGAAGCTATGGCAAAGGCAGACAAGGCCCATTATGAAAGAGAAATGAAAACATATATCCCTCGTAAAGGGGAGACAAAAAAGAAGTTCAAGGATCCCAATGCACCCAAGAGGCCTCCTTCAGCCTTTTTCTTGTTCTGTTCTCCATATGGCCCAAAAATCGTAGGAGAACATCCTGGCCTGTCCGGTGGTGCTGCGAAGAAACTGGGAGGGGTGTGGACTAACACTCCTGCAGATGACAAGCAGCCTTATGAAAAGGCTGTGAAGCTGAAGGAAAAATATAGAAAGGATATTGCTGCATATTGAGCTAAAGGAAAGCCTGATGCAGCAAAAAAGGGAATTGTTGAGGCTGAAAAAAGCGAGAAAAAGAGGAGAAGAGGTTGAGGAGAGGAAGATGAAGATGGTAATGATGAGTAAGTTCTAGTGCAGTTTTTTTTTTCTTGTCATTAAAGCATTTAACCCCCCTGTACACAACTCAGTCCTTTTTTCTTTTCTTTTTTTTTTTTTTTTTTTTTTGAGATGGAGTCTTGCTCTGTTGCCAGGCTGAAGTGCATGGCACAATCTTGGCTCACTGCAACCTCCACCTCCTGGGTTCAAGTGATTTTCCTGCTTTAGCCTCCTGAGTAACTGGGACTACAGGCGTGTGCCATCACGCCCAGCTAATTTTTGTATTTTTAGTAGAGACGGTGTTTCACCATGTTGGCCAGGATGGTCTGACTCTCTTAACCTCGTGATGCACCTGCCTCGGCCTCCCAGAATGCTGGGATTGCAATTGTGAGCCACTGCACCTGGCCACAGCTCACTCCTTTTAAAGACAAAAAATTGAAATGTAAGGCTGTGTAAGATTTGTTTTTAAACTGTACAGTGTCTTTTTCTTTTGTATAGTTAACACACTACCAAATGTGTCTTTAGATAGCCCTATCCTGGTGATATTTTTAATAGCCCCCATACTGTACCTTGTTTGGTATATTATGGGGGTTGTAAATTGGCATGGAAATTTAAAGCGGGTTTTCATGGGTGCACAGCACCAATTAATTATGAGATGGTAGCTTTTCATCTTCAGTTGTCTATGATGCAGCTTATATGAAATAATTGTTGTTCCGTTAACTGAATACCACTCTATATTGTAAAAAAAAGAAGTTGCAGCTGTTGACATTCTGAATGCTTCTAAGTAAATACAATTTTTTAATTTTTTTTAAGAGACGGGGTCTCGCTATGTTGCCCAGGCTGGAGTGCAGTGGCTATTCACAGGCATGATCCCACTGCTGATCAGCATGGGAGTTTTGACCTGCTCCATTTCTGACTTGGTCCGGTTCACCCCTCCTTAGGCAAGCTGGTGGTCCCCCACTCCCAGGAGGTCACCATATTGATGCCAAACTTAGTGTGGACACCCAATCGGCATAGTGCACTACAGCCCAGAACTCCTGTGCTCAAGGATCCTCCCACCTCAGCCTCCAGAGTAGCTGGGACTACAGGCACGCGCCACCGCGCCTGGCTTTTTATTGCTATTGTTGTCCTTTAAAAAAATGAATTATAGCCAGCCAGGCATGGTGGACCACCCCTGTAATCTCAGCACTTTGGGAGGCTGAGGCGGGCGGATCACAAGGTCAGGAGCTCGAGACCAGCCTGACCAACACAGTGACACCCTGTCTCTACTAAAAATGCAAAAATTAGCCAGGCATGGTGGCGTGTCCCTGTAATCCCAGCTACTCAGGAGGCTGGGGCAGGAGAATCACCTGAACCCCGAAGGCAAGGGTTGCAGTGAGCCAAGATCGCCCCACTGTCTTCCAGCCTGGGCAACAGAGTGAGACTCTGTCTCAAAAAAAAAAAATTGTAAACTATTTCAGACATGGAATAAATAATAATTTGAATTTTAAAGGATAATAGGATTACAGGTTGAGTATTCCTTATCTGAAATGCATGGGATCAGGAATGTTTCAGATTTTGAATTTTTTTTTTTAATATTTACATATACATAATGAGATATCTTGGGAATGGGATGAAACTTATCTATGTTCATATGTACATTATACACATATCCTGAAGGTGATTTTATAAAGTATTTTAAATCATTTTGTTCATGAAACAAAGTTTTGACTGAATCCTTTTATTTCTATTTTTATTTTTTATTTTATTTTTTTCTTGAGACAGAGTCTTGCTCCATTGCCCAGGCTGGAGTGCAGTGGCTCAGTCTTGGCTCACTGCAACCTCTGTCTCTTAGGCTCAAGTGATTCTTTTGCGTCAGACTCTTGAGTAGCTGGGATTACAGGTGCCCGCCACCACACTAGGTTAATTTTTGTATTTTTAGTGGAGATGGGGTTTCGCCATGTTGGCCAAGCTGGTCTCAATCTCCTGACCTCAAGCGATCCACCCACCTTGGCGTCCCAAAGTGCTGGGATTACAGGGGTGAGCCACAGGCCTAGCCTTTTTTATTTTATTTTTTTTCTTGAGACAGAATCTCACTCTGTCTCCCAGGCTGGAGTGCAGTGGCATGATCTCGGCTCACTGCAACCTCCACTCCCTGTTTCAAACAATTCCCCTGCTTCAGCCTCCTGAGTAGCTGAGATTACAGGAGCACACCACCACACCCAGCTAATTTTTTTGTATTTTTAGTAGATGGGGTTTCACCATGTAGGCCAGACTGGTCTCAAACTCCTGATCTCAGTCAATCCACCTGCCTCAGCCTCCCGGGATTACAGGTGTGAGCCACTGAGCCCAGCCCTATTTTAATTTTTTTTAGAGGCAGGGTCTGCTCTGTCACCCAGGCTGCAGTGCAATGGTGCAATCATGACTCATAAGCATGAGCCACTGCACCCAGCCTTTTTTTTTTTTTTTAAAGACTAGTCAAGTGCAGTAGTAGAACAAGGTGTTCCATTTGTAACTGACTGTGAACAATCTATTTAGGTAACTCACTACCTTCGGACCAACGTGACTGCATTTTGACTGGGACTGGTTACACGAGGTCTGGTGTGGAATTTTCCACTTGCATCATCATGTAGGTGCTCAAAATTTAGATTTAGATTTTAGATATTTGGATTAAGAGTACTCAACTTATATAACAATCTCCTGTTCACTCTCCCAGTGCATAATAAAGTGGAACTAGTAATTTCTCTCTGACTAAACTATAGGTAGTGGAAAAACCATTGAAATTGACATGAACGATTAAGGTAGCACTTTGGAAAGGTCAGTTTGCTAATCCCACAGTAAGCGCTCAAGAAGCAAGAGATTTTTGCAGTAGCACAGGAAGCCCTGAGGCAAACTGTGCCAGTATCAGCTTCAGAAAACAGTAATGGGGAAAAAAATTGGATGTGGTGATGGGCAAGAAATTGAAAAGTATCAAGATAATTTCAATGAACTGAAGTATGACAGTATCTGTGACTGTGAATTCTTGACCACGCCTCCACCCATTCCTGGAGGGCTTATTAAAACATAGGTTACTGTTGCTCTACCAAGAGTTACTGATCTTGTAAATTTGGGGGTGGATCCCAAGAATTTGCACTTCTAACAAGTATCTGATGACCCACAGCAGGTGCTCAAGAAGCAAGAAGTTTCTTGCTGCTTTTTATTTTTTGAGACATGGTCTCACTGTCATCTGGGCTGGAGTGCAGTGGTGTGATCATGGCTCACTGAAGCTTCGACTTCCTGGGCTCAAGAGATTCTCCCATCTTAGCCTTTCTAGTAGCTGGGGTCATAGGCACACGCCACCATACCCAGCTACCTATTTATTTATTTCTGGTAGAGTCAGCATCTCACTATGCTGCCCAGGCTAGTCTCGAACTCCTGGGCTCAGGAGATCTTCCTGCCTTGGCCTCCCAAAGTGTTGGAATTACAGGGGTGAATCACCATGTTTCTTCTTGAGGATGTATCCAGGTGATGCTGATGCTGCTGGTCTGGGACCACACTTTCAGAACCACTGCCTTACAGTGGTTCTGCCTTACAGTGGGACCAGCCAGTTTTTTGAGAATGTATCCAGGTGATGCTGATGCTGCTGGTCTGGGACCACACTTTCAGAACCACTGCCTTACAGTGGTTCTGCCTTACAGTGGGACCAGCCAGTTTCTTCTTGAGGATGTATCCAGGTGATGCTGATGCTGCTGGTCTGGGACCACACTTTCAGAACCACTGCCTTACTGCAGTTATTTTGCTAATGCCTCAAAGACATCATTATTAAACCAGCAGGGGGAGACAGTATACAACAGAGCCTCTAAAAATAAAATGCCTGAGAGTACTAAAACTCCTTGGAGTTATGGTGTTGCCATGGAGACCACTGAACTATTTTGGAGAGCAGCGTGTAAATTGACATCAGGTGAAATAAATTTCAGGTGTTTATGTAAAAAATCATTTTGGTAGAAATAATGTCTAGATTATGTCATGCCATAGTGTCTTGGTTAAGAACTTGGAATGTGGCTGGGCGCGGTGGCTCACACCTGTAATCCCAGCACTTCGGGAGGCCGAGGCCGGCGGATCACACGGTCAAGAGATCAAGACCATCCTGGCCAACATGGTGAAACCCTGTCTCTATTAAAACAACAGTAACAACAACAACAACAAAACCTCGAAATGTGGAGTCAGCTCTGCCACTTACAAGCTATGGGGATCTGGAAAAATTACTTAGTCTTTGATCTTCTTTGATTTAAAAAATGTCCTGTGGTATAGAATTGAAGGGGTAAAGGTCTTGGAACACTGGGTATTATTAAATTATTATTAGTTATTAAAATTCTAAGTAGTTACTTAGTACTTTAAGCTCTTTAGCCTACTCCAAATTTAGAAATAGTCTAAATACGTTGCTATATTTGCTTTTTAATAACCAGCGCTCTCTTTATTCAGGTAAGTAATTGAAAACATCTAGAAGTTAATTAGTTGCTTTGTAAATCCTAACCTCTTTCATTCAAAATACCTAAGGTAGACGGGCCTTTATAAAAGTGCCGGGCTCAGAAAACTCTGTATTATATCTACGAATCCAAATTTTATTGATGCCCAAAGTCTAAGAGTGTTTCCTGGACTTTGAGCTTTGAGATCGAACGAAACAGATGGATGCTGGCTTTGACTAGGCAGGGCACTTACGTGGGGTCTGGCCAAACCAGGCCCAACCCAGCCAGCCCTTCGGTAGAGTCAGCATCTGCTGGGCATGAAGATCCGTGTCGGCTCCTGCATTCCGCCAAGTTCAGGAACCTGGCAGGGGCCTACCGCCTCAAAGGGACATACCTGTCGATCACCCCGCTCTTACTGGCCAGGGCCGGATATTGGCCTCCTGGCATCAGCGGCGTGTCCCTGGCCAGAGCCCAGGCCAGCGTGGGGTGACGTCATCGAAGGCGTGTCCCAGCCCTGCAGAGCGGTGGGCGGGGCCTGCGGGAAGGTGTGTCGGGGGCTGGTTGGAGACGCGGGCGGCGGGGCCGGGGCGGGGCCAAGGTGGCGGTGACGTCACGGGGCGGGGTGGAGGCTGGCGCGGGTAGGTAAGCGCAGCAGCGGGCGGTGGCGCTCATTCCCGGCTTCCAGCCACGCTGAGCCGCCTCTGTCTTGGAGATTCTCAGTGCTGCGGATCATGTCCCTAAGGGGCAGTCTCTCGCGTCTCCTCCAGACGCGAGTGCATTCCATCCTGAAGAAATCCGTCCACTCCGTGGCTGTCATAGGAGCCCCGTTCTCACAAGGGCAGGTGAGAACCGGCACCTGGCACCGCCGGGCAGGAGCCTCCGCCCCCCCAGAACCTGGAGACAGCGGCGGTGGGGTGCGGGGTACTGGGAGGCGAGGAGAGAGGATGGGGAAAAACGGCTAGGGGAAGAGCTGGCGGGTTCCGGCGATTGGGCACCGTGGGAGCACGTGGGACTTTCCCCGAGAGAGGATGGAGAGGGAGGGAGGGTTGGAGGGCACCCTGTATAAGATGAGGGCGAGTTTCTGCGGCCTTCCTAGAAAGAGCGAGAAAACGGTGGATGCAGCTTGGGGTGATGGAGGGGAGAGGAGGAGGAAGAGGATTCCTTGGAGGGGCTGGAGGGAGCGAAACTGGCCAGAATCCCCGGTGGAGAATCGATGGATGAGGTTAAAGGGAGCGACCGAGGATTTAAGTCTTCTGGATCCAGTCTCTCCGAATGAGCATTAACTGGGAGGGAAATTGGAGCTGGCCTCTCCTGCGCGGGAGGCCGGCAGGGGCTGTTTTGTTCTTTTCAATGAAGGAAACCTGCAGTCGGGAAGGCTCAGTCATCGAGAAGCCGGGTCTCCGGCCCTAGCCAGCCCCAAACACGCCCAGTTCCCGGATCCTAACCTGGCTCCGCCTCTCCCGTCTAGGCGTGTACAGCTGATGTGGTTCCAACAAAGGGGTTGGTTCCCCCTCCTTTCCTGCAAGTGTTTGAGGAAATGACCAGAACTTAGAGGTGAAAGGACAGTCATAGATGGAAGGGCTAAGGCTATCACGGTTTTCAGAGGAACCTGCTGGGAACTAAGTGTACCAAAATGGGTTTTTTGTTTGTTTTTCAGTCATCTTCCCTACCTCTAA